GCCACAGATGGCTACTACAGGTGCTTCACTGACAGCACGGAAATTCAGTGTCTCCACCCTCTGAGTGGAGATACTGAACTTTCCCCATAGAGATACAGTGATTCAATGCATCTCTATGAGAAGATGCTGATGGGTCAGGGCTATGTTTGGCTTGTGCTGGCTCTGCTCCTGATCTGCCTCCTTGACAGTCTCAGCCAATGATATGGGAAAGCATTGTGGTTGGCTCAGATCACTACTACTGATGATGTCAGCCAAGCAGGCAGGTCAGGGGCAGAACCAGCAGCAACAAACTGGATCAAAAGAAAGATTTGACTATATTTAGGGGAACAAAGGGAGGGGGAGAGCAAGGGGACTAGATGGTGATTTTAACACTATAGTGTCAGGAATACATATTTGTGTTTCTGACCCTTTAGTGTTTCTTTAAGAGTTGCCTGCAAATGTAAAGGGGACCTCTAAATATGAAATTACTGTATCTTGGTGCAAAGATTATGTTTTTCTTCTCAGATAACAAAACTTTGCTGTGTCTGAAAAACAACAAACACTGGTGCCCAAAAGGTAGAACCCTAGATGTGTTTTTTTTTTAATTAAATTCTTTATTTTCATTTTTACGGTGAGGTGTAGGGTATAGAATAAAAGGTGGGGTAGGGTGGTAATCACATCAAATACTTTGCAGTTCTATTACATTTTTATCAGTGCTATTGTGGTTTGTAGAGAGACCTCATTTTGGTACTCTGAGTTGAGTGGTTTGAATTTATTTTTTTGTTTCGTCTCGCATGGAGTGTCAGGATTACTGTTTGATCTAGCACGTAGAACTGTACAGCACGGATGACAAATAAGTAACGTATTACCAGTCCTTAGAATGGCCGGATTTAACGTACAAAGAATAGTCAAAAATACTAGCCGAGGTCAGTGAACACAGAAAGGGACACAGCGATGAGAAAAGCCAGGAGTCAGGATACCAGAATATAGAGAAGTCAATAAACAAAGCCAAAGTCAAAAACCAGGTAGAAAACTATAAACAGGAACGCGCTCTCAGACAACCACAAGTGAAACCACGACAGGGCACTGAGCAGGCTGAGAACTGGGAATAAATACCCCTCCTTTAGTTCTGATAGGCTGTAACCGGCCTTTGACCCCAAAGTCAGTTACCAGGTTTCATTTGCATAATTACTGCTCAGCATTAACCCTTCTGTGGATTAGGTTGCTGCTCGGCACAACTTTTCCTGTGTGGACAGTAAATGTCATTAACCACATTTCTATAAGCGGATTGTTTTGGATCAAGGAAAACTTTGATTATTTGTCTATCTACTCCTTCCAAATTGATTAATTAATGCGTGCACGCTTTCCCTAGAAGTAATTCACACCAGAGACAAAGTTTCTGATCAGTGAAAAACCTGAGGAATGCCTTTATTCCCTGGAGTGGGAGTTCCTTTTAAAGCAGAAATACGTCATGTACAGAGTCACAGTTAAACCTACAATATACATTCAACAATTGGTTAACAGTCTAAGGGGTCTTGTCTAAACCCCCCGTACAGGATGTAGTGTCATCATTACAGACTTCTCCCACCTATATTGGATACACGATGGGAGGGGGAGTGAGTAGTTTCTTTCAGTTATTTTAACAGTGATTCTCCATTTTGTTACACGTGGCATATAGCTGTTAACTGGCACAAAGGAAGTGGGGGAGGAGTTAGTAAAGGAAGTTGTTAACACAGGAATTTTGGTTACACGAGGCTTGCTCTGATGGGAAGGGGGATGCTAGCAGGATGAGGAATTTACAGAGGAAATAGCAACTGAACACATTGTAGGGGGGGAGGGAATATTTACTCTAGCAGCCAGTTTTAACATAGTGAACACAGAATAAATAGACATTAGTAAATAGCCATTTTATTTTAATTCATCTGTCCTTAACAGTCCCCCCTTAAAATGGCAATTTTACTAGAAACTACTATCTCTCACTCTAATACTGTCCCTATAGAAAAATAACAAAGGCTATCTTGCACATCTGTCTGAACAGGCCTCGAACACTTCACTGCGCGGGTAACCCGTAGCAGCTTGTCCACTACTTCTCCCGCGACAGACTTCTGCCCGTAGAGACAGACGCTCTCCCTGAATGTCCTTAAGAGGAAGTAGCTGTTGATTTAGTGCGGTGGGACTGTAAGGGTGGATGTGGTGTATCACGGTCTATGTCGTCAATCTCTTGGTGAAGGAAGGTTGGGGTGGTCTGGTCGATTGTCTGATCAACTGTCTTTTGTAGGCATTTCTTAAGACAGGGTAACACACAACAAACAAGAAGAGCGAGGATGATTATCGTTATTAAAATGGCAACACCTATTTGGGCCAGAGCACCTTGCCATCCAGTCATCCATCCAAACCATCTTTCCCATGGATCTGTGTCCCCAGAATTTCGTTTCAGCTCGTTGGACAAACTCTTTAACTTTTCTATTGCCAACATTACCTTACCATTAGGGCCTGTATTATCTGGAATATAGGTACAGCATGTCATGGTGCCTGGGAGTATTTTACATTCTCCCCCTTTCTCCTGCCAAAATCATTTCCAAGCTTATTCTATTCTGGAAGGTCATCTGAGAGGTAGTTTGTAACTGCCCTATCCCACCATATATCCCATAACAAGTATAGTTCTCTGGATATATAGTAATGCCTTCGTCTGGGTTAATATTTTTAGTAATGATTGGGTATTAAGTTTCCATGACTCGCTTGCTGACCGCTTAGGTTTAAATACAGTGTAGAGACTTAAAACGCATACTTCATATCCGGAGGAAGGTTCAGGGATACAGTACCTGGGTGAGGCCTCGCTCCTCCGCAGACATAGCATTTAGACTTGTTATGTTTAGTAGCATTGTATTTCATCCATTCAAGTCACAAGTTAGTGTCAGAGAAACCTGTCTCTACAGCCATAGTGTCCTCATACGTAGGGTTAACTATAGCTATCATGTCTTTTAGAGTTTTGATGTGTGGCTTAAGAGGATTAATAGTCATGTGCGTGGCACCTACCCATTCAGGTGCGTCATACATGTCCCGTAAGAAAAAGGTCTCCTGTTTATTGTATAAACCTCTTCCCTTCCAATTCAGATTTTATTAGCCGTAATGCTTGGGAGAATAGATTCAAACTTAGTTTCTTACCTTAAAATCATTTGGTACCCCCCTTGACACCCCTATGGCATTAATATATATATGGGTAAAACCACTCTTTATAGGGGTACTCCTTTTTGTCTTGAAGCATGAATGAGGTGTGTCAAGAGTACCTTGGGGATTGTCATGTGTTATGTGTATGGACATAATAACCTTGGCTAGGGCACATTTACTTATTCTTAATCTTAGAAATATTGTCTCATGCTACCCTAGTACTGGCAGATTCAGATAATTTAAACATTCAATATTAATATCACCACAAACTCAAGTTAAGCAGATGATCCTGAAGAAGCTTTGACTGTGCGTATGGCACCTCAGACGTGAGGGCTGCAGGGTAAGGAGTATGTCTGTTTCTCTTTAGTTTCACGAGGTCCCCTTTTGGGGTATTCGGCTTTCCATCGATGGCAGGTGGTCAGGCATTATTATGGCCATCAAAACACCCACTTGTTGATATTTATTTATTTTCAACAAGTATCTTTGTTCTCTAAGAATGGAGTTTCAAAAAGAGTTGTCAAGATCAACAAATGCTACTTCACATGATGCAGAGGCAGGCTTGATTCTGGATTGATGAATCCACGGGGTGATCTCTGTAACTTTCACGGTGCACTACTCAGCATGTGGTCTTGGTTATCACTTTGGTGGCTGGATAGGCCTCTGGCCATCCTGAAAACATGTCTGCTATAATTAGTGCATATTTGAATCAGCCACTCTTTGGCATTCTGGATGTAGTCGACTTGACTCCTCTGGAAGAGATAATGAGGTTTGGCTAGATGCTTGGGGCTTTCCTCCATCCTTCCTGAGTTGCCCTTGGTACAAATGGCACAAGATTTACAGTAACTGTTGGTCAGAGAGGCAATTCCTGATACTTCAGAGTATTTATTGATCAAAAGAGTTCATGAGGGTTCTGGACAGATGCTCTGTAGGCCCAGTGGACCACTGCTGAGTATATGTTCTTGGGCAAGCAGAACTTGAGATTGTTGAAGTACAGCCTTTCTTTAAGGGTTGCCCCTTTCTGTTTCCAGCTTATGTTTTTTCTTTCCAGGGTCAGTAGCTGCTTGTTATTCCTTCGGGAGCTTGATGTCTGTAGGATCTTACATGGTGAATATGGGAGTTTCTTCAGCAGACACTTTTCTGTCCACTTCCCTTAGTGCACTTACAACTTCTTGGACAACTTGGTCAGCCAGAGAGTTGCCACATGATTCCTCTGAGTTCAGTCTTCCTTCAGAGATCTTGCATGCTGTGATGGGAGCCTATAGCTCAGCTTCTTGTACAGACATTGTTGAGGTGAGATACTTGGTCCACTGTAGTGACAGCAAATCCAGAACAGATCATAAGGAAAAGGCTAAAAAAAAATAATAGTCAGTGTCTTATCATTTCCCCCCCTGGGAAGTGGCAGAAGAGTGGCCAGGTAAATAGAGTATCATCCCTGCAGGGTGACACTATCCTGCACAGAATTCGTCCATCACAAGGAGAGGTGGGATATTGCATGGAAAGTCTCAGGGAACCAGGGCACCATTCGACACCAGAGCCTTAACCTGTTACGGAATAGTAAAAGCTTGGACAGGCTTTGGGGCCTGTATAATTCAGGTAAAGGTATTGGGGGAACTAGCTAAGAGCTTTGCCTCTTGGTCAGGTTTCACTGTGTGGAACAAAAGAAATAATAAGGTGATAGGGGCCTGCAAGTGGGGGAAGGATATCTGCACCTAGCAGATTAATTGGACAGGTATAGGCAACCACAAAGCAAGGCTTAGTTAACAGGCTACTCCAAGGAGAGCCATGTACACTTGTGCAGGAGACAACAATTTTAGACAGGATGAGGAGTCAGGCAGGCCTTGCTTGGTACAAATAGATGTCATGTGGCCTGCTATACAAGGCTGCATGTAGCCGGTGGGTATGGGCCTTATTATGTACTAAAACCTAAGTTAAAAGAAAATTTGGGACAACCTGAAGTGACACTTCTCCACAGATGCTAACTCATCGTTGATGACATTGTTAATACAGGTAGCCTGATCAGCCAATTTATCTTAGGCTTAAACAAGTCACACCATGTAGTGGAATGGGTCATTAGGATTCGGGCAATTCTACAGTAAAAGGGCATAGTAAGGATGGATGCGATGTTACTTTAGGAGTAGGCGTGGCTGTGGATAGGGGGAAATAAGCCTTATCCATTCCCATATATTATTCCTTTTGTCTTCAGTATATCCAAAACATGTGTATGTCCAGGCATTGCAATATATAGTAATCCATTATCAGTCATGATATTAAAATCTCATTCTCATGAATTAAATCAAAGATTTTAAATCAACCTCAGAAGCAACAAAGAATAAATCTATTGTTTTTTCCTTCTGTAAAATGATTGGAGTTACTGTATAATAGCATACAACCAATATAACATACATAAAAACAATGAAAAAACTAACAAAAACAATAAAAAAAACAGTACAGACTAACAATTTAGTAAAACAACAAATAAACACATATCTCTATTCTTGTGCTGGTTTTAACTCTAGAATCAAATATCTGCAAGATCTTAAATAATGTGCACCAAACACAAATAACTTTAGTTATATTCTGCCGTTGAGGCAATTGGGAGTGGCTCAGGTGTCTGTATTGCTCTTTCACACTGAGTTCTAGGGGGGAAAAGGAGGGGGTGAAATCTGCACTTCTCTCTCTGCGTCTAACAAGTCAGTGTAACCCCTTCATGTCTGGATATTTCCTTACTTTATCTAAGAATAAAGCAACTTCCTTCAAAGTACTTTTTTCTCTAGCAATTACAATTGCAGTTGAATCTAGATCTTGACATTTTTTCACAAATTCATTAATTAACTGATCCTCAGGAAAATTACCAACAAGTCTATATGCATTTTCAAATTTTACAAGAAAACTAGAAATATCCTTATCAATGTGTGGTTTTTGTTTTTCCAACACTTCTGCAAAATCATTCCTTGTTGTTAATTTCATTAATTGTGTTAATCTGTCTTGCTTATTTCCATATATTATTTTATCATGGTCTTGACATGCCATTTGAGTCGGCAGCCATGTTTTAAATAGTCTATTCCTTTGTTCATCATTTAGGCTATATTTGTCCAAATTTGACTCAAATATTTCAGCATTAGTGAATGCATCCACTGACATGTCATAAACTGGAATACATTTCACAATTTTCATTAATTGTTCATGGATTTTCAAATTAAGTTTTACAGCTCTGTTACTTTGTTACACTGTTCATTTAAATCTGATTTGTCTTCTGTTAACATATTCAAATGTATTTCTTTATCTGCTGATTCTAAATTTTCTTGACCTGCATCTCGTTTACAAATCAATGCATTGTAAGTACAGACTAGTTTCATAACATTTCTGATCCTTTGTTTTTTTTATTTTTTTTATTTTATTAACAAACAATTTCTTGGCAATTTCACTATTGGCAATTTCACATTGTGTGTATAAAGATTGCCACAATACAGCATCTGAATAGCTGCAATTACATGCAAACTGCAATTTACTTTTCTCTGCATTATCATTTATGAATTCCACAATTCATTTGTTCCAACAAAATCTAACTTTCCCAACAAGACATACACAGACAAAAGCATAAAATACAGATGTAATTAAATCACAAAGTCCTTAAAATAAATGTCGGCTAATAACTCAAATCACACACACAGAAACACTCAAGCACATAAACATTAACTTTTCCTTTTCTTTTCTTTGTAACTCTACACCGAGCTTTACTAAAAGAAAAGGCACCAGTTCTTACTTTACCAAATAAACTTAGCTAAAACAAATAAAACCTTTAAACTCTAAACCGAGTTGTATTAAACCAAAATAATCACCAGGTTTGTTTTTCCAAACGAGGCCAAAACAACATTCGCTAGTTTCTTCACCGAAACCTAGCCAAAACCACAAAATAAACCTTTAAACTCTGAACCGAGTAATATTAATAATTGCCATGGTTTTTTTTTCCAAACTGAACTTAAAAACAACAACAGAACCGCCACGATCTAATTTTAATATAAATCAGACAAAAAAAACCCCAAAAAAACGCCAGGGGCTATTATGCACACCTGAACTCAATAATCGCCAGACTCTCAACCGAGTCTTACTAAATCAAAAGAAACGCCAGGTTTTTCCACCAAACCCGAACTTGGCTAAATATGCCAGCGCTTAACCACACTTGGCAGCATTATATAGCAATATTAAGCAAGTAGTAAAACAGATTCTCAAGCAGACACTTTCACACATAAAACTCACACTCAGGACGTAGATAGACAAATTGACAGGTTCTATTCAAATAAAGGGGACATGTGGGCATACTATATACCTGTCGACGTTAACCACAGGAAGCAGAGTGAAGGCCCAGAGTACAGACCGGGAAAATATAGGTAAGTTACTCATTTACCATATGCAGAGGTGATCAGGCTCTTTTTTTCCAATCTCTGGGGGTCTCCTCTCCAGTCCTGGGATTTTACGGCTTTGAGCAGAATAACATAACCCTCTAGTCCCATCTGGGGTGCCAAAATTGTTTTGGATCAAAGAAAACTTTGATTATTTGTCTATCTACTCCTTCCAAATTGATTAATGTGTGCACGCTTTCCCTAGAAGTAATTCACACCGGAGACAAAGTTTCTGATCAGTGAAAAACCTGAGGAATGCCTTTATTCCCTGGAGTGGGAGTTCCTTTTAAAGCAGAAATACATCATGTACAGAGTCACAGTTAAACATACAATATACATTCAACAATTGGTTAACAGTCTAAGGGGTCTTGTCTAAACCCCCCTACAGGATGTAGTGTCGTCATTACAGACTTCTCCCACCTATACTGGATACACGATGGGAGGGGGAGTGAGTAGTTTCTTTCAGTTACTTTAACAGTGATTCTCCATTTTGTTACACGTGGAATATAGCTGTTAACTGGCACAAAGGAAGTGGGGGAGGAGTTAGTAAAGGAAGCTGTTAACACAGGAATTTTGGTTACACGAGGCTTGCTCTGATGGGAAGGGGGATGCTAGCAGGATGAGGAATTTACAGAGGAAATAGCAACTGAACACATTGTAGGGGGGGAAGGGAATATTTACTCTAGCAGCCAGTTTTAACATAGTGAACACAGAATAAATAGACATTAGTAAATAGCCATTTTATTTTAATTCATCTGTCCATAACAGGATGAATACGTGACATTACCTCCGACCTGAAGAATGCCCACCAGGCAGACAGGACCAGGCTTGAGAGGAAATTTAGCGTGAAAAGAGCAGATCTTACGGCCCGCATGCAGGTCAGGAGCCGAAACCCAAGAACGATCAGCAGGACCGTAACCTTTCCAAACAACCAAGTACTGTAAAGTGCCCCGAGAATCCATGATAGAAGATACCTCATACTGTTCTTGACCACCCACCACCAACGGAGGGGGAGGAACACAAGGAACAGTATATCTATTGCAGACAAGAGGTTTGAGTAAGGACACATGAAAAGTGTTGGGAATCCCTAAAGATGCAGGAAGAGCCAGAGAGTAAGACACTGGATTGATCCTACGAAGCACTCTATAGTGACCGAGGAATCTGGGGGCAAACTTCATGCTAGGGACCTTAAGCTTGATGTTGCGAGATGACAACCAAACCCGGTGCCCCACTTGGTACACCGGGTTGGCACTCCTACGCTTATCAGCAAAATGTTTTAAGCGTTCAGCAGCAGCCCCTAGAGCAGTTTGAACCTTAACCCAGGTATCCCGAATGGAGGCCAGATGCTCATCCAGAGCAGGAATTGCAGTATCAGAAAATACTGCAGGGAGAACCGTAGGATGCCTACCATTATTGACAAAAAATGGACTGTGCCCAGAGGAGTCATGAACAGCATTGTTTCTAGCGAACTCAGCCCACGGGAGTAGTTCGGACCAATTGTCTTGTGTTGTATTAATAAAACAACGCCTGTGGATGGTAGGAGGAGGAGAAGAAGAGATCAATCCCCAATTGTTTACTGAACACCCTCCAGAACCTGGACACAAACTGAGAGCCCCTATCAGACACAATATTGTGGGGGATGCCATGCAAACGGACAATTTCACGTATGAAAATTAGGACCAAATCTTGCGAAGATGGCAACTTCTTGAGAGGAATGAAGTGAGCCATCTTAGAAAATCGGTCTACAACCATGAGAATAGTAGTGAACCCAGCAGAGCTAGGAAGCTCAACAATAAAGTCCATGGATAAGTGGGACCATGGAATCTCAGGAACAGGAAGAGGCTGCAACAGGCCACAAGGAAGTGCATGAGTCACCTTAGAAACTGCACACACAGAACATGCCTGCACATACTCCTTTACATCTTTCCTGAGTGAATCCCACCAAAATGATCTAGTGATCGCGGCAGTGGACTTATTGATGCCTGGGTGTCCAGCAGTTATATTGTCATGGAACACTTTCATGATATTAACCCTTTCACATAGGGGAACGAACAGTTTATCACACGGTTTACCACTGGGCGCCTGAGGCTGGGCCTCCAGTATGGTGCCAAGCAGTGGAGAAGACAGTGAGAGGACAGTAGTAGCAATAATACACTCTGGTGGAATAATAGGAGATGTCACCTGTTCCGGAGCTGACTCATTATCAAATTGCCTGGACAAGGCATCAGCCTTGGTATTTTTAGAACCAGGTCTATAAGTAATGAGAAAGTTAAAACGTGAAAGGAACAGTGACCATCTAGCCTGTCTGGAAGACAAACGTTTGGCATCCCCTATATATGCCAGATTTTTGTGGTCGGTTATGATCAACAGGGGGTCCTTGGAACCCTCCAAAAGATGTCGCCACTCCTTGAGGGCAAGAATAATGGCCAACAGTTCTCTATTGCCAATATCGTAGTTGCGCTCAGCAGGAGACATCTTTCTGGAGAAGTAGCCAGAAGGATGCAATGGTGTTCCCTGGCTTGCTCTCTGAGAGAGAACAGCCCCTACCCCGTCTCGGATGCATCAACCTCCAATATAAAGGGTTTACTAGTGTCGGGATGTTTTAGTATGTCCGCAGAGGCAAATCTTTGTTTAAGAGTCTCAAAAGCATTCACAGCCTCTTTGGACCATACCGTGCTACTAACCCCTTTGCG